AAGTCCTGCCTTGATTCTGTGTTTGAAGGGTGCACTTTTGTAGAATGGACATGTTAAAAAATTTGTTTTTAAAAAAGACTCCAGGCAAGATTTTAAGCACCGTTTTGTGCTAAACACAGCCAAGGTACAGGATGTCCATGAGGGGAGCGCCTGATTGCCTTTCACCAGAGAAACTGAAGTGATGAGAACTGCCAAGAAAGTGACCTCGAAAAGAAAGGGCTCCTGATGACTGTGGGGAGAACTTTCCAAAGATCGCATTAGAACAGAAATACCAGAGGCCCCCCTCGCTAAACACACTTTTCCGGTCCTCTCTTGGGTCCCTCCTGCTGGTAGAGCTGGAGGCTGGAGCTGTTTCTGCCAGCTCTCCAACCACCCACCAGCTTCTGGGCTTCCCTTTACTTCCTGACTGCCATCAGCGTCCAACAATCGCCCATGTTTCCTGCCGAGAGGACCCAGGGCCTTCTGCCACCACATTGCACCATACCATTTCCTAAAGAGATTGCATAAACAGCAAGACATCAGTAACAGATGAAGGTATCCTCAGACAATGCACTAGGTATGCAACAGGGACTTCAAGACGATGGTAGGATAATTACATGGCTGAATAGTTCAGATTTACTAGTGACACAGCCCTGGGGACAGGCACTGCCTGGATGGTACAAATCTTTCTGTGCATAGAGGTGGGGTTCGGACATCACCTCACTGTCTGAGCATCTTCTTGCTGCAACTTCCACAGTGTTGATGGCACCTGCTTGGTGACATTTTTGTGTGTGATTATGGCTCAGTGGGTAAAGGCATTTGTCATCAAACCTGATGACCTGAGTTCCATGCTGGGACCCACACAGTAGAATGAGAGAACTGATTCCTGAAAGTTGTCCTCTGAGTCCTATATGTGCCCTGTGGTACATGTACACCCTGACAATAATGATAGCATGTTAAGAATAAAATACATCTCTGTCACCATTAGATAGTAATTTCCACGAGGGGCATCAGCCTCCCTTCCTGCTGAATGAAACCTTAGCTCTTGGAACAATATTGGCCACACTCAGTGTCCGGTCAGTATTCAACCTGAACAGTAAAGCTCAAAAATATAGACTTAAAATGGATTCAATAAATACTTGAATAAATGAGCAAATAACCATTCACAATGTGATTAGTTTTAAAGATCTGCCCAGCTTCCTTAGAAGTGATTGCTTGCTTTAATTGCCAGCACACTGTGTGTTCTTTAATGGCAGAGACACTTTTGAACAATTTAATCTCAAATCAATTATGAGTTCCAGACACGACCCCACCTTTCTGTTTATAATTTCCGCTTGCTTAGGAGTGCAGCAGGCTGATACTGGAGGTTTATGTTCTTACTTCAGATTTCTGAGTCTGTGGGCTCCACATGAATGGAATTTGGGGAGCTACTGAGACAAACCAAAAGAAATTATTCAAATTGTTCACATTTCGAGATAATGATATTTGAGTAATACATTTATTAGCATTTTAATAAGGCCTGGAAATGAGACAGCCCGAAGCAGATTTGACATTAAAGAGGCCGATAATTCCACTGTCGGTTTGTCGTGTTGTCTCTGCCTGCGTTTTCTTTTTAATTATTTTACAGTTTCTTATAGCCTTTTCAAGAGGGCTAAATTTGCCATTGCTGTAAGCGCTTAAGCAGTCTCTTCCTCCTGACGTGGCATGGCAATTATTTCTGAGAGAAATTATTAAGAGTGCGGCCTTTAATCAGGGAAAGAACACGCTGCAGAGAGCCTTGGCGAGAGAGTTCTCCTAATAAGATTCCTGTAATTGAGTGTGGGCAGTCGGGTTCCGAAGATGCATGGAGATGGTAGAATCTGTAATTCTGGAGATGGGAAAGTGATTCATAGGGTGGGGGGCTGAAGCCTAAACAGGATGGCATTTTGCACTTTAAGATCTCAGCAGAGCCTGGCTTGCTTTTTGAAAGGGGCCATCCATTTCAAAGCAACTTAGTGCCCTGCTCCAATAATCCAAATTAGTTTAACACACTTCGGTGACATTTTTTGGGCATTTTTCACAATTATTAGAGATAATTCACTTTTCTCTGTAGACTGTAGGGTTGAAAGCAAATTAAATCAATAGATTTTCTTCCTTTGCTCTCTCGGATGAGGCAGCAGTTACCAGTCAAATGTGCACACGACCTTTTCTGCTTAAGCTTAAAAACCCAAACAACCTGTTTGGAAGAAGTTTGGCCAATCTGATTATTTTCTCTATACTAATTGGCTTTGTTTCTTCATTAAATTGAATGAATTGCCTTGTCATTTTGTCATTGTTGGGATGGAGCTTGATCCACTTAGAGCGAGTGGCTGTCCTTGGCACACATGGAGCTATAGACCTGTGGGCACTGTGACAGCTTCCTGAGGAGGATGGAGCGGACCCTGAGTCAGCCCTCTTTCTCCACATTGATTTTCATTGCCCAGGCTGAGACATGGAATCTGAGCCCCTCAGGAGACCCTAGAAACCTGGGAACTGGCTCCCTCCCTCTGAAGCTTTTCTCCCTCCAGGCCAATCTTCAGGTGGTATCACCATGCATCTTTGAAAAAACAAATGTCGACCCACACTGCAAATACTAGCCTTTTCCCAAAAGGTATTTGTACTCTGAGATGAAAATCCCTGTCGACACTCCTACCTTTATTTTAGTCGTCTGCCCCGCCTACACCCTACTTCCACACTGGTGTCACTGGCCTAGCTACAGTCTCTTTGTCCCTAGATTCTTTCCTAGCTTTTGTTCTTCCTTCTTCTAGAATATTCTTTGCATGTGGACAGAGTGATCACTCTAAATGTCACTGACGGTCCCTCTCTAGTGTTTCCTTACCTTTGTGGCCAGGTTCTCTATTACCTTCTGTGTCTTGTTCTGACTACAGCAGTCCCTTATTGTCCCTCTCTGACAGATCCCCGCCCTCTGTCCTGTTGCTTCATGAGCCCTGTACCACCTGAAACTCTTCTCCGTCACAGATCCCTTGTCCTCATGAGAGCAGACTCACTTGAGGGCCAGATTTGTCTGGGTTGTGTTGTCTCTGAGTTCTTGGGTAGTGCAGTGCCTGCTTCCTTTGCTGAAGACCCAGGTCACATTTGCTGAACAGAGGAGGCCCAGCAGAAGCTGGCTGCTTCATCACTGACAACACTGTCACATGGTTGATCACTGAGGTGGTGTTGAAGGGAAACCCATCACCTTCTAAACCTTTGTGCTTCTCCGTTCGTTTTCAAAGCTGGTTTGTTCAGGATTAGTGTACACAGTAAACCTAGCTGATAACTGTGGAGATAGAAGACATTTTTTAGATTTTCGTGCTTAAATATAAGAGATGGCATATTTCTACATACCGTGTTTGCTTTTAGGAGCCCAGGAAAATTTAGACATCTAATGGGTTTGTAATACTCATGGCCATAGGAGATGATTTGGGGAGGTGACAGCAAGTGTGGAGACCAGAGGACATCAGGTGCCATCTACCTGTTTTATTTTCAGATAGAGATTTCCCCTGGCCCGGGACTCACTCATTGGACTAGGCTAGCCAGCCAGCAAGACCCTCCCCCGGTGTAGGGATTACAAGGGCATAAGATTGTACCCAGCATTGGTTTTATGCCTCTAATTGACATGTGATCAGATGACCCTACAATAGTGGGGCCTGCAGTGGAAAAACTACCTGTGAAGACCATCCATTTGTCATCACCATCACTTCTTTCCTGTCTTTTCCTTCCTTCATTCTCCCCTCCTTCAGTTTTCTTCTGCCTCCCTCTCTCCCTCCCTCCCTTACTTCCATTTTATTAAATAGGAAAAGAGAACCCACAACATTTACTACAAGCTTAAGGCATGAGTTTTAGCTTGTCCAGAGAGAAATCAAGTGTTAGACAGTTGGGGTGTCTAGGGAGTGATTTTAATATGTTTGTAGAAAGGTAAACGGAGAGGTGGTAGGGACCTCAAAACTTATTAACTCCAAGGAAAACAATTTTGTTTTTTTTGAAAAAAGGCAATGCAGTCTTAGTGTTCAACACAGCTCAGTGGTGACAGGTGTGTGCCTGGCTCAGCATAGCCACCTAAACAAGGCATGGAGTCAGGGATATTCATGGGAAGGTCAAGCTGATGGAGCATGACAAGTGTGCTGTGTGCAAGGGAGGGAGGGTATTAGAGGATAGCTACTCTCTTCTGGCCTTGAAGGAGGTCATAGGTCAGCCTGTAAGCATAGAAGCAGGAGAGAGAGAGATGAATCTCAGAAGACTCCAAAGTAAAAAAAAAAAAATTATGGCAGGGTAGGCAAGGGTTGCTAGCTTTTCTAATAAGTAGAAAGGTTTGAGGTTTTCAAACTCTGTGCATGTATATATTTAATCAAAATAAGAGCATATTTGACAGTGTGCCCAGTGCATCTTCCAGGGATCCAGGCGTTCTAGAGTGACTTTTTTCCAACTCATCTCATAATGCAGTCTACCTTCTTGGAAAGGACTACCCTATGGTGCTTTTGGCCTGATTGTAGGTTCCTGTGAGGAAATAGAGGAGAGAGTAAGGGGGGAAAGGGGGAGCAGGTGTGAGGGGCTATTCTGTCTCTTCCTTTCCCACATAGAGACAACTGCCACAGCAAATTACAGCGTCCTAGGTACCCACCTCCCTCCCTGATGCCTGGCAGGTACTCTGGTAGAGACCAAGACATGTCGTCACCAAGGTGTTCTCACCTGGGGTCTAGCAAGTCTTTAATCTTGCTATCTAGCTCCAGGGCTAGGGGATTCAAAGTGATCTAAAATTAACACAAAGAAGCCCAGATGGAGGATGACTCTGTGGTGAGAATAGACACCATGACGATGAACACTATTTTCAATGTATAAGGTTATAGAGTCATCAACTTGGCAGCTTGGTTTTTATCATTTCCTTCCTTGGAGGAGGTGGAGAAAATGCATTTGGCTGAGTGTGAATTGGAGGTAACCAGAGTTCTGTACACACTGTGTGAGCTGGCTCACTTCATGATGATATATATATATGTCCCCTCTTTCAGGTCTAAGTCTGCAAGTAGAGTCATCTTGTCCCAGCACAGACTTGCCTGCTGGTCATGGGAACAAAGAGAAGCAAGGTGACTGTCCACAAACTTCAGAACCCATCTCTCCTGGCACAAGCTCAAAATTCATCTTGGAAAGAGACAATTTGACTCTGAAGGTGAGAACCACCATTCCGAAGTACCAATATCTACCTGTCACCTAGACTTACACCTCTATGTCCATATCACTGTCTGTGTGGTAAAATTCCCTGTTCTCCTTCTAGGGTTCCCCGGAACATAATACCAGACCAAAAAAACAAACAAACAAACAAAAAAACAAAAAACAAAACAAAAAACAAAAAACCCAAACATTCTACACCAAAAAATTGGTCAACTCGGAGCTAGAGAGGTGGTTCAGTCAAGAAAACACTTGCTGTTCAAGTGTGAGGAACTGAGTCCAATTCCCCAGTGCCCACATCAAAGCTGGATGCATATCTTGAGGGTCTGTAACCTCAGCATGCCTACAGGGAGATGGGAGATGAAGACAGGAAAACCCCTAAAAGTTCTGGAGCCAGCTAGCCTGGCGTATTCAGTGAAAAACAACCAAGAGAGCTTGTTGTTGAGCAGGAGGAAGGCTGACTCACACCAGAGGCTACCCTCTGACTTTCATGTCACACACAGAATTGGTCGACTTTTGTTGTGAAACTGTTGGTTTGTTTTCTTGAAAACCTCAAGTCTGTGTGGCTAAGGACCCCTAGAAGAAAGATGCTAGCAGATGTTGGGTGTCACCACAGCGTGAAAGCACCCTAGTTGGACCAGGAGACAGGAAGTGTGGGACCAGCTGGGTAATGGAGTTGTTTGGCTTTACACAGAGACCTATGTTGTATCAATCAGGAGCTTGGCTGGGGTTAATGGGCTGATTAGTTATTAATGGAAACTCATTGAGGACATCATATTGAGGTTCACGCTCAGGGAGGAGTTGCTGGGACCTCAAGACCTTGCTTTCCATTGTGGACTGTGTTTCTGACCACAGTTTTCTTTATGCCAATTAACCTTTCCCCCTATTTCTTTTCCTTTGCACTTTGTTGTAGGAGGCTTCTCCATCTGCTGGTGAGCATAATGACTGTTTTCCGGAGAAGGAGCATGCCAGTGGGTCAGGGCTGTCTCTGCAATCCAATGCATACATGGCCGTGTTTCAGGAAGGTCCTCCGCCCGAGGGCAAGAGTTTTGATGTGGAGCCCCCAGAGACTCTGCTGCTGCCTTCCCAGGATCCAGTCTCCATGGTTTCCAACCTGTGCATCTCCCCAGATGTTTCAGAGCCACCTCTGTCCTTTAGATCTAAAGGAACATTTCCCCACCAAGACCTTGCTACTTCTGTGGCTGCCATCTGTGTTTCTGTGGGGACACGAACAGGACACAAAACCCTGGGGGTTCTTAGTGCAGAGGAGACTCTGGCACAGAGCTCACCAGATAGAAGAGCCATACCAGAAAGCATAGCACCGGCACTTCTGCCAGGGAGATCTTCACCTGGTAAAAGATCACCTGGAAAAAAACATTTAGAAATACCACAGTCAGGCCCAAGTTCAACCAGTTCACACCAGGAGGATGTGAGACCCCAGACAGATTTTCCTTCCTGGGGCCAATATGGACATGGGGAAGTGGCCGTCCAGTGGGCTGCTTCAGGAAGTGAGAGTAGGGCATGTCACAATGAAGGGTCACTCACCCCCAAGAGTGTCATGGCTCCTTCTGACCAAGGGCAGCCCTCAGAAATTTCTGAAGCCCCCTTGAGATCCCTCCGAAAGAGGAGTTTGGAAGGAATGAGAAAGCAGACTCGGGTGGAGTTCAGTGACACCAGCAGCGATGACGAAGACAGACTGGTCATAGAGGTGTGATATGCTTCCAGGGGCCCTCTGGGATGACATCACCATGTGTAATGGGCACCGAACTCTTCAACACATCCACAGACTATGAAAGCCATCTGAGATTCCTTCAAGCCAGCTCTAACCAACTCCGTGCCCAGATCCAGCCATACCTTTCTTTAGTTTCTTTCAGACAGACTTTGGACTCTTCCACATTCACCTGGAAGAGTCAAGGTGGCCAGAGGTACAATCTCAAGAGGCTCAGCACAGACAGCTCCAACTTGATGCAGTAGTAAGTACTGCCTCATCCAGTAAAATGACACTAACTGGAAGAGCCATATGTGACGTTGTTCTTGACCAGCGAGATCCCACAGGGTCAAGCCCCTGACATTTCCATCACTAAGTGAAGAATGCCAGGCACACCTGGGGTCACTGGGGTGGCTGGAGGGAAATGGTTGGGGTGTGAACTGGGCGAACTTTGGAGACGAAATCCAGATGCATTCAAAAGCTGGTCAGGGCCAGCCATCCCAATGGACAGTGTAAATACACATTACAATGCCTAAGGCCCTTTATATGTTGCACAAATGGTCAACACTTGTTTCTGGTCCAATAATACAAGCACGTATGGCCCTTGTACCTGGTGCCTTTTCTGTGAGAGACCCCTCCACTACCACCAAAAAAAAAAAAAAAAAAAAAAAAAAAAAAAGCCTCGTGGTTTTTGTTTTTTCTTTTTTTAGATCTTGCAAAGGAACATTGCATTAAGTCAGTAAGATAGTCACTGTAGTGAGTCATTTTTTTTAAAAAGGGGGGAAATTCACTTATTTCCCTCTGATTATTTTTGTCATATTGGGCTCTGAGCAATTTCAATTAGAGGGTTACATTTTTAGTAATCGGTACAGGTTGAAGTGATGCCTTTTCCTCATGATGGCGTCTTTCAGGTTTGCTCTAGAAGCTTCCAGGACGTAGAACTAATTGGAGTTTTGACGCTGTTTCACATCTTGGTAATTTATTTTGGGGACCTGGTGTTATTTTGCTGTCAAATTAAATCAGCCTTTGTTTTGCGAATTTCAGAGTGGCACAGATCAAATCCCCCACTCTTCCAAGCTGGCACACCCCTGCACAGAGGCAAATAGGTCTGTGTCAGTCAGCTCTCTACGCAGGCCCCAGGCTCCCAGACTCCCCCTCCTTCCCCTTAAATGGGAGAGGGAAACTTCAAGAAGTTTACACTGCTCATTCCTCTACGATTTTCTACTTGCCTTGGTATGATTTTGTACAATTTGTGATTTCTAGCCACACTTTTGGCTTTACTCCAAGGTAATGATTCCCACGTGACATCTTGTGCTCCTGGGCAAGGCAGCCATGAGAAGTATCTCCCACTGGCAAGCATAGTTTCCTAAGTCCTGACCCTCGAGGAAGTATGGTCTGACTTGCAGCATTTTCTTTTTTTTTTTTCTCTTTTTTTTTTTTTTTTTGTTTTTTTGAGACAGGGTTTCTCTGTGGCTTTGGAGGCTGTCCTGGAACTAGCTCTTGTAGACCAGGCTGGTCTCGAACTCACAGAGATCCGCCTGCCTTTGCCTCCCGAGTGCTGGGATTAAAGGCGTGCGCCACCAACACCCGGGCAGACTTGCAGCATTTTCATGTAACCTTTGCAGCTTTGCTCATTATTCACAGAGAACTTCAACGTGGTAGCAAGAACGGCTTCCTCATACAAGGCACCTAAGTCTGTGGCCATCACACGGGTGTTCAGCCTGGCCAACAGGAGTTGAAAAGAGTAGACACTGCTTCTGTAAACTTCTTAAAGCAAATGGTATTGATGTGGTGATTGCTGCCCTTGGGATGGCCCATGCATGCCTGAGAAGTCAGAGGAGGAAGCTGACAGAGCCCCGTGGAAGAGGGCCATGGTCCTGGACCTCAGTGATGGCTGCCTCTGTGCGAGCTTCCCTGGATGAGAGTGAGGCTCTGCCTCTTCTGGGCCACCATAGCCAGCTGCTACCCCCAAGCCTATATCCGACATTGTGAAATATTGTTTCCATCTCTTTAAACCCCTGTGTCTATTACAAAGACAGAAGGATTGCCAGGCCCACTGCCTCACCTGGCCATTTAGTGAATGCCAATCTTTCCAGGACTCCTTTACTTTAAATCAACATGAATTTGTGAACCTTGTATTTCAATAGAGTTTTTAAAAAAATCAAAGAATGACCTTGGGAGGAGCTAGCTGCTGAAAAACACCCTAAAGTAAGGTATTGTTTGGTTTGGTTTTAATGGGGAGTCCTTTTTGGAATTGGTTTTTACAAATCTAATTTTCTTAAGGCAAAATATGATCATAAGAAAATTGTAACAAAACGTTTACCCATAAAACCCAAAACTCAGCTTGAGTTTATTAAAATAAAATTCTGGTATTACCAACTGACCATTGCGGCAGTTTGTCAACACTACAAGTGCACATCACGTGATGCCAGTTCAGGGAAACACATCTGCTTTCAGGGCTGAGGATGTAGCTCGGTGGTATAGTGCCTGCCTGGCATGCTGAGCTGGGTTCAGTTCCCAGCACCACACATGAAGAAACGTTTCACCGCAAGTCCAGGGCATTCTTTGCCAGTACTGCTCCTCCTGAGCACCTTCGCGTAAGAGTTTTACCTTCCGGCAGGCAGACTAGCTCCAGGGGCACCTGCAGGGACTGTGAGAAAGAGGGATCCAGTTTCTTTGCCATTGCTCGTGGTACCTGTCACTGGCCGTTGACTGTCCTTACCTTGTGTGCCTGGCCACATTTTGAGATGCACAGAGGAACGAGATCTCACCTCTCCACTTGGCCGTCTCTTAAAGATTTGTGAGTGTGGTGCCCATTCTGCCCCCCTTGTTGTAAAGTGCCACCGGAACAGCTCCTCCCTTCTGTTAAGTCAAAGCTTGACATTTCAGAGAAAGCTAAGACCCGAGACTGAGCAAGACCCAAGGCTCACAGTAACCAAGGCAATCTGTGGTTTGTTTTCAAAGTGGTGGGGGAGCAGAGAAAGAGGGAGGGAAGGGAAGGAGAGACAGAGAGACAGAGAAAGAGGGATGGGAGAGAGGGAGGGAGAGAGGGATGAGAGAGACATAGACAGAGAGGCACACACACACACACTACACATACAGACCTGGATTTTAATGAAAGCATGGCCAACAACTTAGTGGGTAACTTAGAACCAACGGGAACTTCCCTTTCCTAGATGCTACTTTCTAAAGCCTGGGTCTGAAGGAAGCTTTGCTTTGCAGCAGTTCGGTGTGACCATTGGCCTCAGCATGAAAGATAAATGATTCTCAGTCTCATGCCAAAAAGTATTTCCTTGCACTTACATCCATTACTTAGAATGATAGCATCATTCATCCCCCCCCAAGCATAGAAATTTGCATTTTGCACAAAATTTGCCTGGTACAGCAGATTTTTATAGTTACGGGAATGTGTGGCTGCTCAGCTCCCTGGATGCCATTTAATAGGTAGGAAGGAAAATGGCCCACCTGGCTGTGGGGTGGGCAGAGTCCTACTGCTTCGGCAAGAGGGGCCTGTGTGTTTTTCTTTACCCTGGTTGCTAGTTCTCAGTTCAAGAAGCACTGGCTTTGGAAACACTACATTTGTCTGTCTCTTTTTAAAACTCATTAAACATAGATGTCAGGATCTGGAACCATCTTGAGTGCTAAATTTCAGACCTTGTGTGTGTCGTCTCCATACTTTGCACTGATGCAGTAATATGCACAGTTTGTTCTGAGGGATGTACAAACATGAATGTATTGTGTCACCGTGGGGAGAAGGAGCCAGGAAGAAGTCAGTCCTGGCCACTGGGAGCACTAGAGAGTGGCTCACTTGCTCACACAGGCAGACAGCTCTGTTGGGCTCACTGCTCTACCTTTGTTCATGATAGGGAAGCTCTTGGCTTCTTGTTGAGGAATGCTTCTCCTTCTTTATATGGTTAAATTATTTTGTTTTGATAAAAATAAAACTTGAAAATGGAAATGTCTTGTGTGATTTATTAATTTTAACCCAAACAACCCACCATAAACAAAACTTCCTGTAAGGTTTAATTCCTGATCATTCCCAACCCATTAAGCAGACACTCTCTGTCTGCCATATTGGAATTCCATTCCAGCCCACGAAAGGGTGAGATAATGGCAAATTCCTCAATTTTCTTGTGCTGTTACTTGGCCCCATGTGCCTCATTTGTCATACGACCTGCCTTAATTTATAGTTTTTAACTTAGAAATGCTTTTAAACATTCTTAAATGTAGCTAAACTTTGAAACCACATGAGAGTACTATCCACAGTGTAATAATCCAAAACTTTCCCCCTTGGAATTAATGTTTCTTGGAAGCTGAATGTTATTCATCAAGAAAGAAAACATTTATACATCCAAATCGTACCTCTTTATGAAGACAGCATATGTGTTCATCGCAAGAATCTTTTCCAACCCTCTGCACACACAGCTTCGTGAAGTAAATCGGTCTCATGTTTTGGAAAACACAGTGTGAGTGGCTACTTGGAACACATGTACTAATTGGTGGCTTTTAACTGGTTATTTCCTAACTCCTCAAACTCTGGTTGTAAGAAATTAGAAAACCAATGGTAAGAAAATCATTGATTTTCAAACTTCAGTCACTTAAAAACCCTTTCAATGTTTTTTGGTCATGTTTCAAAACAGCACTCATGGGTATATTATTTTCTTAATCTTTTTGTTTAAAAAAATCTCTTCAATACAGGGGAGATTGTTGCTCTAAGCAACAATGTCTGTGAAATATCTCATTTAGTGTAATAGTGATGAATCTGTTCTAATATACATTTAAACACAAAAATCATTAAAACCTTTCATCCATGTGCCACTTAAATATCATTTTTATGCCACCATTTGGTGTGTTTTTTTACACTTGGGGAAACACAGAGATAATCTAAAAGGTATAGGTGCAGTTAGAGAAACTATGCTTAGTTTCTGGCCTTACCTTTTTTTTCTTCAAGAGACTGAAATTGATAACCTTATGTGAAACTGGAAATATACAAGTGAGTTTTCTCC